TGTGAAATGAAGGTGTTAGAGGACTCACCTGATAATCAGACCTTTGCCTCAATCAACCAACAAATATCTTCAGAAATTCCATGATTCATTAACAACCTCAATCTTGCACATCTAGCACGGTAAATTTTTGTAATCGCATTCTAAGGTAGAGTGGGAAAATACTTTTTCAATTTTTCAAGATTAATGTCCATTTTCAAATGAGAATTGGAAGAGAGATTCAAATAATTGCACAAATATATACACAGATATCAGTTATTATGGGAAACTGAAAGAACTGACTTAAGTCGCGGAGTACTGTTGTCCGCCATTTGACCGGGGTGAGAGAAACTAGCAAAAATCACTTAAAAAGAAACACAAAAATAATGTGAGAAAAAAAAACAAAATAATCAACCTTTATCTACAAGATCATTCAAACCAGTTGATTCATTTTCACTAGAAAAATTATCAAAGTAAGCTTTCAAACGATGTCTATTTTCCTTAAAAACATTGTCATTCATTGAGTTCTCAATATCACAGGCCCCATAAGGATTGCTCCATCTTAATCTTAGCTCTATAAGGAATGAATAGAGTTGAGAATTATAAAACAAAACTTTTTGACTAGTATCAACATTTTGACAATTTTCACAAGTTTTACAGAATGCATGCGTGTCCTTGAACATGGTGGGCCAATAAAATCCATTTTGAAAGATTTTTGTAGCTGTCTTTTTTGAAGAAAAATAACTCCCACATGCTTTAGAATGACAAAGTTTAATGACATTACTTACCTCATTATAGGGAATGAATCTTTGAAATATTTGATCAGGACAATATTTGAATAAGTTAGGGTCATCACACAAAAAGTCTTCACTTCGTTCAAAAACGTTTCTTTGTCTTGGGTACTCCAATCAGCTAGCAAATCTTCTAAAGCAAGAAAATTGATATTTTTATCATACCAAGGCATTGGACTAAGAGAAAGTAAGGATTTATTAGGAAAGTAATCATCGATTGGTGTGATGTTAGATGTCGAATTTGTTGTCACTTTTGACAAAAGATCCGCATCAATATTTTTGGTGCGTTTTTCATCTGTGATTTCTTCCTTAGAATAAATCATTTGCAAATCTTCAGATTCATCCAACTGATTTTTACTTAAAGTAGATTCAAGCTGATCATAAACTAATTCGTCAAAATGATCTACTTCTTGTAAATCATTATCATCTCTAGGTTGCTTGCAAATGTTGAAAATATTCATCTCCAATGTCATGTTTCCAAATGATAGCTTCATCAGTCCATTCCTACAATTAATCAATGCGTTAGAAGTTGCAAGAAACTTGATATTAATGAAAGCAAAGCATAAACATTATAAAAAATATAAAGAGAGAAAGCAAGAGCATGATCTTGATCTGGAAACCCAGATGCCTAAATGCATGACAAACTCTTGACTTGGTGACAATCATTATCTTCTCTTGTCTGCCCAAAACATCATTGATAATGTCAAAATTGGAGCCACTTGAACATGAAAGTTGTAGGAAATTGTCTCAGATTTCTTGTATAAAAACTTCAGCTCATTTCAACTTCTAGAACTCCAGATATGGCCAAAATACTGAACAGTGCTCGGGCTGGAGGACAAATTCGGGCTTCTTTGTTGTTCCAACAATTTGGACTTGAAAATGGCCTTTTTAGATCTTGGGCTCCATATGAAAGTTGTAGGCCTATGTCTTACCTTTCCATCCATATAAAGTAGACCTAAATCTGAGATCTATAGCTCCAGATATGACCCAATTACCGAACACTGTTCTGGTTTGGATTGCACCGACATCTCTTTTCTAAGTTTGGCCATCTCTTTATCCTTTCAATTTCAGTTCTTAAATTCATCAATCAATCCTTTCATTTGTGTGATAGGCCTGCATTTAAAATGAACATTTACAATAAATTAAAGGTATCTTATATTATTAGATATATTATTATAAAACATGCTTTAGTTAAGAAGTTATTGCTACTTCAAGTGCAAAATGATATCAAACCTTGATAAAAATACACTTTTAAGTATCAATCAGCAGTAATTTTTTTTGGCTCGAATTTTCCTTCTATAAAACCATCGGTAATTCTTTTTCGACAGACTTAGCGACTGAATGTGGGATTAACAATGAAAGACATGCCGATAGACACTTTTTATTGATGATTTAGTCAATAATAAATTTACAAACGAAGTCTAAATCTCACAACGATGAATTTAGTCTATCAAGAAACTGTGAATTCTTATAATGTCTTGTTTATTGAAGATATGAGTAGTTTAAGTCAATTCACATGTTGAGACTAAGTTTCTCCTTAAACGTTCTTATAGGCATATAACTTCTATATTTAATTTGATCTAATGACCATGGTTTTACAGTGCTGGTTATTTTTATATTTTAAAAGTATTTTTTTAAATAATTTTTTTGTGCGTTTTCATATCATTTGATATAATGATATAAAAAATAATTATTTTAATACATTTTCAAGTAAAAAATATTTCAAAAAATAACTATTATTATACTTTCAAACACCCTCTAGAAAAATAATTCTTGCATCGATCATTTTATATTAGAAGTGTGCATTTTTTTTTCAATGATATATAATTGTATCTTTAATTCAGTTTATACATCAAATTAAGATTGAGTTTCTTCATGAACTATCTTAAAGGCATACCTTTTCCTTTTACACTGATGAAATATATTATGAGAAATTTGATAAATCTTTAGGAAGCTAACCCAAAGGTTTGAGCTAAGGAAGAGAAAGTATATCCCTAACCACCATACAAATCCCTTGAGATTAGAAGTTGATTAGTACTTAAAAGTGTATTTTTTATCAAGGTTTTATGTCATTATTTTGCACTTGAAGTATCAATAAATCCTTAACTAAAGCATGTTTTATAATAATATATCTAAAAATATAAGATACCTTTAATTTGTGGTAAATGTTCATTTTAAATACAGGCCTATCACATAAATGAAAGGATTGATTGATGAATTTAAGAACTGAAATTGAAAGGACAAAGAGATGACCAAACTTAGAAAAGAGATGCCGGTGCAATCCAAACCGGAATACTGTTCGGTAATGCGGTCATATCTGGAGCTGTAGATCTCAGATTTAGGTTTACTTTATATGGATGGAAAGGTAAGACATAGGCCTACAACTTTTATATGGAGCCCAAGATCTAAAAAGGTCATTTTCAAATCCAAATTGTAGTAACAACAAAGAAGTCTAAATCTTTCTTCCAGCCTGAGCACTGTTCAGTATTTGGCCCATATTTGGAGTTCTAGATGTCCAAATGACCTGAATTTTTTACACAAGAAAGATAAGACAATTTCCTACAACTTTCATTTTCAAATAGCTCCAATTGTGACGTTATCAATGATGTTTTGGGCAGACAAGAGAAGATAAGGATTGTCACCAAATCAAGAGTTGGTCACCCATTCATCAATTAGTCAGCAAATCAATAGTTCCCAATTTTGGCCTATAAAAAGAGGCATTTGCCATGCATTTAGGCATCTTGGTTTCCAGATTAAGATCATGCTCTTGCGTTCTCTCTTTGTATTTTTTGTAATGTTTATGCTTTACTTTCATTAATATCAAGTTTATGCCTTTCATTTCATTTCCTTTACTTAGTTAACTTTTATCTTATTTACGTTCTTATTTTGTTTATTTATTTTTCTTTCTTTCATTATGTCTAGCTAAGTTTATTATGTCAAGGTGAAAAGGTTACACTCAAGAATAAGTATAGTGTAAACTTAATATGGACTTTAATGTTTGATACTAACATGTTTTGTATTTGTTAGCTTGTTCTCTCTTTAATACTTTGCTTGTTAAATGACGAATCTTGATTTATGTTGTATAACACTTGGTACAACAAATGCTTGGCACTTTCATAGTTCATCCTGTATGGTGTAACCGACACCTGAGCTATGAAAGGGACTTGATTTGTTGTTAACATAAGTTATAATCATGAATGCTTGACGAGATTTACAAGTATTAGGATTAATGGAATAAGATGACTAATGTAATCATGTTAACAATCTATAATCTGATTGGAACCTCCTTTATGTGTGGTTTCCAATTGAATAATAAGAGTTTATATTATACTTGTTTGCCATACCATTAGTGGAATCTCTAACCTTGACATTTGTTATTATCATTGTTTAATCCTTATATTAATATTCCATCTCAAAGTTCTCATCTTTTTCTTCCTTTTCTCCTTCTTTTTCTTTATTATTATTATTATTATTATTACTACTATTATTATCATCATTATTATTATTGTTCTTGTTGTTATTGTTGTTATCTAGAATTTATACAATTAACCTCCCTGTGGTTCGACTCCGGTCTTACCGGGTTATTTATTACTTCGACACTCCTGCACTTCAGAGAAGACATCAATCTTTTAATCATGTTGAAAGCCTAACACACCATTTTTTGGGCTGCTGTATAATTTATCTTTATACAATCCAAGACAGGAAATTAAATTGCCATCTCGTTACATATGCATGATAAACCCGATTTAAAGTGTATAAAGATTTTTAACAAAACTATAAATTAGACAATTTAAAATATTTTAAAAATATTTTTCATTTATTTTTTATATATACTCAACAAATAGAGCTATATGCGCAATCTTCATTTTGTCCTTGCATTTTTTTAAGTGAGAATAATCTTCATTTCATAAACTATAATTAATAAATATATCTTATTTATTTTAAGGTTTTTTATTAAATGAAAGCTTTGCTTTATTGCTCAAGTGGCCCTAGCTAAGCATGATTAGTATCTTTATCATCACATTTAGTTCTTCGAATGTAATGAGTTGCAACCAAAAGTTCATTTCCACCAAGCAAGAGGAAGTGCCGTAGAAAATTAAAAGAAGACAATACAAGTTTCTCGTGGGAAAAATTGGTTCAAATTCGTGTGCTATTGGTTGATCACATATTGGTGATCAATTGATTAATAATTGTGAATGAGAAAATTTAGAGATCGAAATTTGAAGTCGTACATGATCAAGCACAAAATTATAAATAAAAATAGCTAACCTCTCCCTGACGAAGGAATGACAACAACATGCATTTCTGTGTTGTTTGGTGGAAGATGTAACCGAAGGGGATAGAACTTCCCATTTAATGGATTCCTAGAACAAATTTGGATATCAATGAGCCCTGTCTCTTCTTCCAACTTATTCTTCAATTCCCCCACCATTCTTCCCTTAAATAAGAAGGAATGTTCTTCAACATCATCTGCATCTTCATTCACAGACATACTGTAATGTATCACCCTGCCGTCATTTTTAACCAGTAAACCTTCCAAAGAATCATCAGACTGCACACATAAAAACAATCTTAATCCCATTCAAAAAGAAAAAGTAAAGTTCTATCAAGCCGATTGAGTTTAATGTTTGAACGGACCTCTTGTCTTGTCAATTTGGGTGGTGTAGTTGAAATGCATGTTGGTGAACTAGGCTCATAATTTGGTGCCGTTTCGATTTGATCACTGTGTCGTCGTTGTCGTGGTGGAGGTGGAGGTGTAAGATCTTGAACTCTTATCTCTACAACATCCACATCCCATAGAATCCAATCCTGCGTGGAAGATCTATGAGGAATATCATGTGTTATGTGGTTTCTCCATGGCGGTACGCCTCCATTTGCTCGTAAATATTGTCCGTAACAAGTCCTGAGCCTAACCCGGATACCTTCCCTAATAGGCTCCCATTCCACAGAAGAATCCAATCGTCCAGCAGGCAAAGTTTGCAGTACTTTCTTGCCTCTCATTCCCAGCAACAATGGCAAGTTACTGGCTGTTAAATATTTGCCAAAACAACTTTTCAAACGTATAGCATTGCTATTTGCGACAATTTCCACCGTCCATTTGGCGTTCCTGATTGTCCCATTTCGCTCTTGGCTAACGGTTTCTTCATCATCATCTGCTAATAGATACTTGTCATGGTGGCTCCGAAGGCGAACAGATTTTGCTTTCTCAAAGAGTTCCATGGCACTCTGGATACCAAGATATAGAACAGATCAATCACATATCTAAAATACGGCAATTCGATTAACAAGAAATTTAGCATTTGAAAAATACAGAGCAAGAAAAGAAAATTGACAATCAAGATAACATAACTTTTGTGTATAATTTGATAAAATACCTGAATCAAAGCAGCATATGGTTTAAAATGATGTCTTTTAACTCTAATGGTGTCTGGGAAATTGGAAGATTATGATGTGAAGGGTGGAGTTGTAGCAATCAATGAAGCAAGAAAGTAGGAGATTTACTATATATATATTGGCAGCTAATATTGGAGTTGCCTTGTAAAGAAAAAGAAGATTGCTAGTGATGTGTTATGATGATATCTACAGGCAAATCCGGTCATTCAAATTCAATCTTCATTTGTAATATCATTCTTTTATCTTTATGGGAGATTTTGTTATTCTTCATAAATTAATAAAAGCACAATATTATCACTTCGTGGAGAAGTCAGTATATATATGAAGAATAAAAGGGAGGATATTAATTACCTCCCTCTCTCTTCCACTTTTACTTTTTTGAGTTTAAACTAACAATTGCAGTTTATAACGTTAGTTATCCCAAAAGTGCACTTGGTCGCCTAGACATCAATTCAATAAGCCATATGAATTAGTTAATTCAGGGCACAGGTTGCTTTTATATAATGGCAAAACGAAAGTGTGGGTGGGGATCAATAAATAAACAAGAGAGGCAAGCTGGTGTGTGTGAGCGTGTGTATATATATTGTTAGGTGAGCGAACCCAGAAATTGACTTTAGAGTTTGAGTATATATTATTTCATTAATTATTTTCCACATCAAACTCAAGCATGCATGTGCCTTTGTTTTTCTTTATTTCCCTTGTATCCACTTATGAGCAAGAGAAACAAAAATCCATTTTGAAAGAGCAAAATGTAGATTCCATAGATATTAATCTTGCTATATCATACACCCTTTAAACCTGTAAATTTTATTAATCAAGTCCCATACGTTTCCGACGATATTTCTCAATCATGTCCATCTATTTATCGATTTCTTTTACAAGTATTAAAATTTGCGTAAGATTTGACTAAGAATTATTAATTAAAGGTTTCGATCTAACGTGCATATTCATTCATACACTTAATTTGACTAAAAAAATTGATTAATATTAGCAAAACGTTTTGGAAGTAGTTGATAAAATTCATAATATATTTGTTAATGGATTAATAGCACATATATTTTCTATTTAATTAGAAAGTAAAATAATTGAGGAAATAAATAAAATCCATACCTCTCTTGCAAGAGAATGTGTGTTGCTAGCCAAACTAGAGACCAGCTGGCAGCCTACATCCGAACGCTGTGAACTGGAAAGCTGCGATCCAACTGAAGAAGGAAAGCTAGAAGCAGGCGATATATAATCCTGTAATTGTAAATCACTTTCGATTATGTCCATCATATCCACTTCCCAAAGTACCCAATCTTGTGTTACAGTCCTATGTGGGATGTCATGTGTGACCGAGTTTCTCCATGGTGGCATGCTTCCGTTGGCACGCAAGAACTTGCCTCCTCTTGTCTTTAACTTAACACGAAACCCTTCAGTTCTAGGTTCCCAATCAATTGAACAATCCTGTACAGATACCGGCATGTCTTGCACCACTCTTTTCCCTGCCATGCCTAGTAAGAATGGATTCTCTGAGGCTGTAAGATACTTTCCATAGCAACTTTTTAGTCGGATTTGATGGTTATTTCCCTGAACAAACTCTACTGTCCAACGGGCTCTTCGTGACGATCCGTTGCGGCTCTGCCGAACAGTTTCTTCATCCTCATCTGCAACTAGGTACTTGTCATGGTGGCTCTTCAGTCTTACTGCTTTCGCCTGGTTGAAAAACTCCATGATAATTTATAACGAGACAGTAGTTAATGAGAAATGGGTGGGTGCCTCTTCTTTGTGAAGCTGGTGGAAATATAAGCTGGTGTAGTCTTTTATTATATAGTACAAATGGAAGCCTTAGAAATTGACTTGAGCAATTTGTGCCTGGAAGATGCCTTAATAAACTGTCCTCTTCTTAAAATTTGCTGACCATAAACAAATTATTTGAAATTGACAAAATCAACCAATGAATGAATGGCGAATTCTGGTGACTAGGTTTTGTATACGAGGCACGGCACCATTTCAAGGTATTTTTGAGTTGGTCCTAGTCTTTGAGGGACAAAGTCAACATTGTTGTGCTTCAAGCTATAGAAGGGACCAACAGGACTATTGACAAAGAAATTACCTTCTATTAATTATCATTATTTAGAATTATTTTTTGACCTTTTTATTTTTCACTGCTTAGATAATTATTATAATCAGCTAACAAAATGAAATCCAATACTTCTTGCTTGTTGGTATAATACATTACTAGTTTTCGGCCCGTGTTTCACTATGGATTAATTAAAAGCCTATAATTATATAAAAAAAATTATGAATGTTGTTATTTTTTCTTCATGTAATTAAATATTTAAAATAAGAATTAAAAACTCAACTAGCAATACCACACTAGATTAATCGACTACTATAAATGTTAATAAAAAAAGTCGTTGCGACTTATTCAACAAAATGAATCAATAATAAACTAATTGCTCTATTTAAATGATGATTTGGTTTTTAAAAACATATTAACACCACCATGATTTTAGTTTTGTCTAATCCTAACTAAAATGTGCAAAAAAAAAAAAACTATCAAAGAATTAAATTGAAAAAAAACAAGAGAGCTAAATGAAAAGACGACAACACATTGTATTGACCCTAGTTAACACATGAGATTCACAACCCTAGTAATGGACATGACCAAGCATCATAGCCATCTTTCACAACAGCAAAGCAGACTTTCTAGTCATTGAAGATGCCCCCAAGTGTACTATTACTCTTAACTATTGATAAAGTTCATTAAATCATAAACAGTCTTTAAACAATATCACACATAGCTGATTTAGGAATTTATCATTACTAGATGCTATTTATAGTTTTAATGGATTTTATTGAATCATCATTTGATTAAATGCTTGTTTACCCCTAGTTGATTTGGATATTGTCTGTTATCCCTTTTGAGGTCCATTATATTACCCTCGACTACTCAACTTTTCAAGGATGAATTATAAGAAATATTAATCATATTTTTTGTCAAGAACTTTGCAAACTCGGTCAATAAACTATTTTTGTTTGAAAATCACTTTCTTGTTTTAGAATCAACTCGTAAATTTCAAGGATCAAGTCCATTTCAGTCTAATTGTTGCAAAGAAATCATGAGAAATCATTTTAAGAGTGTTTATTTGATTATAACCCTAAAACATCTCATTCATCACTAAGATGCATCTTTTGTGCAATTTTTTTTTTGGTTGAGAATTGATAGGATAATGGTTGAGAAAGAAGTGTTAGCTCAAAGTGGAGCTATCTATGGTTCAAATAAATTATTTTTTTATTTTGAAAATAATTTTATTTTAAGTTTCTTATAATTCCTAGGGTTTTAATATTTCTTTAGAAAAAAGATAATTTGGTCTGGTGGAGGTTTATAATGAGATGATTTTTTGTTGTTGTAGGTTTCAAAGCAAGAGGCTTGACTAAAACTTGAGGTTTTGTTAAGAAACATTTGTTGTTTTTTTTAGCATTTATTTTATCAACATGAATAATAATAAATAACTTGTTTGTAATGTCATGATTCTTCAGAAAATATCTTTTACATTTTGAAAATATCATTTATTGATCCAAGTTATTTACTTGATTAAAAAGGATTTGTAAAGGTATGTAATTAGGCTATGACTTTTTGGCTATGAAAGAGAGGGATTCATAGGCTCAAAGAATGTTCCAAAGTTCCAAATACTTAAGGTCATTGTAGTTATATCTTTTTTTTCTTTCATTATGTTTCTTTGATTTGCCCTTTTTGTTTTCTTTGGTAAGGCCTCCTCATCTTGTTTGACATGGTTTTTTTTTTCATTTAGTTATGCCACCCAACATTTGGATTTCTCCTGCTTTTTGTATTTTTCACCGCATCTCCTTGGTTTTTTATTTTTCAATTTGTTCATCCACCAATGTAAAGGTGCAATCTTAGTCAAGATCGACTCTTGATCTTAGGAATTTTAGTTACCCTTAGTGTGAGATGTGATCCTAGTTAGGGTTTTTACAAATAAAAACTTATTCAGGCTTAAATTGAACCATAAAGGATATATTTTAGAATGTAAAAGGATAACAAAGATAACCTTTTTTATCATTTCAAGCACAAACGATTAAAACTGATAAATGTTATCCTTATTTAGTGTAATTGTTCAGAACTTTTGCATAAAGACTTATATTTTTATGAATCAATGACTAGCAAATCAAACTACATGCAATTATATATACAACTAAAATAAGGTCCAAAAGACATTGGGTGTGAGCTTTTCATATATTTTTCATGTCTTGGCTCGAAATCATTTGGTCATCTTATAGTAGGGATTGCTTGAATGACTCGTATTCCACACTCTTTTAAGCAAACATTGAATTATTTCTAAAGTCAAAAAGCAAGTCTAATTTTTTCAAGATTATTTTGACAAAAAAGAGCTTTTATAGAATTGATGTGCCAAAATGTTTTGAATGGAGCCATAGTAAGTCGTAAGGGTCAATTTTATGAATTTCAAAGGGTTTGCCTCTTAGTGATTTGCAAGATACACCTTGGGGTTTGAACATTTTCATTACTAAAACATAAGTTATTACTTTCACATAAATATCTCTTAATTTCAAAATAACAAAGACAAAGAAAAAGCAAATTTAGCTAAAAGATATGATATAATCCCAAAACAAAGTGTAGAATACAAAAATTTCATAACAAAATTGTTGACAATACAACATCTTAATTAGGCCAACCCCTCTAGCAACATTTGAGCCTTGCTAGAGTTTATCAACCATTGTTATTGACACGATGAAAAGATTAATGTCTTCTCCCAAGTGTAGGAGTGTCAAAGTAATAAATAACCTGGCAAGACCGGGGTCGAACCACAAGGAGGTTAATTGTACAAATTATAAATAACAATAATACAACAACAATAACAATAATAATAACAATAATAGTAATAACAACAACAACAACAACAACAATAATAATAATAGTAGTAGTAGTAGTAGTAGTAGTAGTAGTAGTAGTAATAAAGAAAAAGAAGAAGAAGAAGATGAGAACTTTGAGATGGAATATTAACGTAAAGATTTAACAACGATAACAATAAATGTCAAGGTTAGAGGATCCACTAATGGTATATCAAACAAGTATAGTATAAACTCTTATTAGTCAATTGGAAACCACACACAAAGGAGGTTCCAATCAGATTATAGATTGTAGTATAAACTCTTATTATTGAATTGGAAACCACATACAAAGGAGGTTCCAATCAGATTATATATTGTTAACATGATTACATTAGTCATCTTATTCAATTAATGCTAATACTTGTAAATCTCGTCAAGCATTCATGATTATAACTTATGTTAACAACAAATCAAGTTCCTTTCATAGCTCAGGTGTCGGTTATACCATACATTATGGGCTATGAAAGTGCCAAGCATTTGTTGTACCAAGTGTTATACAACATAAATCAAGATTAGTCATTTAACAAGCAAAATATTAAAGAGTGAACAAGATAACAAATACAAAACATGTTAGTATCAAACATTAAAGTCCATTTTAAGTTTACACTATACTTATTCTTACACCATTAGTGTAACCTTTTCACCTTGACATAACTAACTTAGCTAGACATAATGAAAGAAAGCAAAATAGATAAACAAAATAAGAACATAAAAGTTAACTAAGTAAAGGAAAGGAAATGAAAGGCATAAACTTGATATTAATGAAAGCAAAGCATAAACATTACAAAAAATACAAAGAGAGAAAGCAAGAGCGTGATCTTGATCTGGAAACCAAGATGCCTAAATGCATGGAAAATGCCTCCTTTTATAGGCCAAAATTGGGAACTATTGATTTGGTGACTAATTGATGAGTGGGTGGCCAACTCTTGACTTGGTGACAATCCTTATCTTCTCTTGTCTGCCCAGAACGTCATTGATAATGTCAAAATTAGAGCCACTCGAAAACATAAAAGTTGTAGGCAATTGTCTCATCTTTCTTGTGTAAACAATTCAGCTCATTTGGACTTCTATAACTCTAGATATGGCCAAAATATTGAACAGTGCTCGGGCTGGAGGATAGATTCGGGCTTCTTTGTTGTTGCTACAATTTGGACTTGAAACTAGCCTTTTTAGATCTTAGCCTCCATATGAAAGTTTTAGGCCTATGTCTTACCTTTCCATCCATATAAAGTAGACCTAAATCTGAGATCTATAACTCTAGATATAACTCAATTATCGAACAGTGTTCCGGTTTCGATTGCACCGACATCTCTTTTCTAAGTTTGGCCATCTCTTTATCCTTTCAATTTCAGTTCTTAAATTCATCACTCAATCCTTTCATTCATGTGATAGGCCTGCATTTAAAATGAACATTTACCACAAATTAAAGGTATCTTATATTATTAGATATAAATTATAGGTATCTTATATTATTAGATACATTATTATAAAACATATTTTAGTTAAGGAGTTATTGATACTTCAAGTGCAAAATGATGATATAAAACCATGATAAAAATGCACTTTTAAGTACTAATCACACCCCCCAACCAGCTTATTACTAGTCCCTAGTAATCAAAGCGTTAAAATAGAAAAACAATTTGTAAATTCCACAAAGCAAGGTATTCATCATTTAACTTCCATTAATCTATCCAGATAAACAAACTCTCATTAAATTTATATAGCTGCTCAATACCTCTTAACAAGATATTCATAAACCTTTCTTTTGTGCTCAATGTATCAAAACATAATTATGGGGCTTTTCTTAGAAGAAAACAAAAAAAAATTTCTAATGTTTAAGGTTAACTTCGTTGGGTTGGGATTATTATTTTTCTCTTCTTCTTTATTTTTTTTAAATATATATAC